GATGGGGGCCGTGGGCGCCGGGGGGGTGGTTGGCGGGTTGGCCTGGGCGGGATGGCGGTTCGGCGTGAACGGGGGCAGGTTTAAGGAGAAGCCTAAGGAGGGCGATTTGTGAGGAGGCATCATGTCGGGTTGGTGGTGGTTGCGAATGGGAGCATGGCTGGAGGTGGGAGGGGAGCCGAGACTGGATGAAGGGGATGTACGGTCGACGGTCTGGCGTTTTTGTTTTTGGGCGCAGAGTCTCTGGGTGTTTTCATGTCGCATCTGTGGTGTTGTAATGTTGTCTGGCGCGGGTGCGCTCGATTGTAACGGCGACGTTGGCTTCTGTGCTGACGTATCAGGCCTGCAACCATGGTTGATATAATACATATGTGATGAGCTTCATGTGGCAATGTGGCCCGGGAACGTGGACAGCGTCATCTACTCCAATCACATCAAGATGCCTTGCCTACAAAGACGACACAGAACTCCTACAAGTCAGGCCTTGAAAATGGCAATCTATTTCTACGAATCCAACTTGCCAGTCCATTTCACACCACACCAAGGCACCAAACAGGAAAAAGAAAAACTATACAACTGCCAACCTACAATTTAGCAAGCGGCTCCTCCAGCTCCTCCACCTTCTGGAACCTGTAAAAAAAGTCCAGACTACCCGGGTTCAACAAGGTCCCGCTCGGCTTCACCGTCTTGCCCGAGATGATACTCTTGACCGGCAGCTCGACCTTCTTGCCGTTGACGGTGACGGGGATCTCGGGCACCTGGAACACGTACCGCGGGACATGCCTCTTGGTCAGCTCCCTTGCAATCGTGTCCTTGATGCTCGTCACCATCTTCCTGTCCAGCGTCCGGCCCTGCCTCATGATCAGGAACAGGACCACGCGCTCGTCGAGGTCGCCCGGCCGCCGCTGCCCGACGCACAGCGACTCGGCGACCTCGGCCGGGAAGCACCGCTCCAGCACGGCGTAAATGTCCGAGCTGCCGAACCGGATGCCGCTGGGGTTGAGCACGCCGTCCGACCGGCCCAGCATCAAGACGCCGCCCGTCTTGGGGTGGAAGACGCAGAAGTCGCCCTGCGCCCACGCCCCGTCGAAGCGGTCAAAGTACGCGCCGCGGTACTTCTTGCCCGGCGACGGCGCGTCGTCGTTCCACAAGAACAGGGGCACGTTGGGGAACGCAGCCGTGGCGACGAGGTCGCCTGCCTGCCCGGCGGGGAGGGGCTTGCCCTCGCTGCCGTCGGCGAGGTCGTGGTCGTACACGGCGATGGGGACGCCCAGGGAGCCGCCGACGCAGCCGCCTACGTGGACGGGCGTCAGGGGGTTTTCGAGGACGAAACAGCCGGCCTGTTGGCTTGTCAGCATACATGGACTTGGGACCCAAGAGAAGAAGAAGAAAGATCATGGTTCCATCCAGGCAACGTACAATGTCGGTGCCGCCGGAAATGTTGGCGAGATGGACCTCGGGCGGGAACGCCTCATCGTAGAACCACTCGAACATCTGGTCGGGCAGGACCATGCCCGTGCTGACCACCTTTCTTAGCTTGGAGAGGTCGGCTACTTTTCTGGGAGAAATTCCCTTCTTCATCAACTCCGTCATCCAGCGTGGGCTGAGGCCGAGTGTCGTGACGCCCTGTTGTTCGGCAATCTTTAAGAGCACGGTTGCATCTGGGACGAATGGTGACCCGTCGTACAGAACGGCCCTAGCTCCCAAGAGTAGCTGCGACACGCTGCTCAGGTACATGATCCATCCGGTGGTGGTGAATTGAAGGCCAACGTCGTCCGGGGTGGTGCCTTTGTGCAGGATGCCTTCTTTCTGGATGCTTATCAGCAAGGGGCCGACCCCGTGAACAATTGCCTTGGGGATGCCCGTCGTCCCAGAAGAGTAGTACACAATCATGGGGTCCTGGAAGCCGATGCGGACCATGGGTGGAGGCTGCTTGTATCCCTTTGACAGGATAAAGTCCTCGAGTCGTTCCGTGTTGGCAATGTGTCCCGTAGGGTAGGGCTGCCCTTTGAACCGCTGCACGACAACCACCTTGTTGAACGACGGACATGACTGCAGTCCTTCCATGACGCCTTGGATCTTGTCCCGGAGGTCAATTGTCTTGCCGTTGTACGAGGCGCCGTCATCGAAGAAGACGTACTGCCCCAGTCAGCTTTCTCTCATCGGTTCATCAGCACCAGGGTCTGCACCAGCATCAACCACCACTCACCTTGGGATCGATCTGTGCCGTCCTCTGCAACAAGCCTCCAACGCCCATATCCGTAGAACTACTGCTAAACAGCCCGCCCAGCCAAGTCGTTGCCAAAAACACAATCAGCGTCGTCGCCGAATGCGCGCCAACCATGACCACCCGGTCCCCTCTCCCAACGCCTCTCTCCTTCATCGCCGTGGCCAGCTCGGCCACCCTTCTCCGCAGCTCCGCCCACGTCATGTGCCGAACCTCGGTGTTGCCCTCGCGCACCTCTGTGAGGGCAATCTTGGAGTCCTCCTTGTTGAGCTGGGTCCTCGTGCCGGGGGCGTCGTTGGCGCTCCGGCTCCAGAGGAAGTTTTCCGCCCAGTTGAGCTGAATGCCCGCGAACCAGGCCGGGAGCTGCGAGACGGGAATGGACTCATCGACGGGCTGCGTGTAGCTGCCGGAGTGGATTAAGGGCATGGTTTCCCAGACAAGAGACCAGAACTGGTTGCGGTGAGAGCATGACCATTTGTAGAGAGCAGGAAAGTCCTGGGAACGTCAGGTTGAGAGAAACCGGATCGAAGTGAAATTGCCCCAGCTCACCTGCATGTCCAATCCATATTTCGCATTCGCATCTTGCATGAACGCCCACATGGCGGTGCTTTTGGGGTCTGGATGCTCCCAGAGCTTCCTGGGCGTCTGTTCAAAGTCCATGTTTGGCGAATTGTGGGTGGCAGCTGTGACTGCTATTTTCGTTTCTTTTTTTTCTTCTCGGCGTCAGAGCAATAGACAAGAGGGCTTCACGGGTACTCCGTAAGGAGAAGGGAAAATAGAAAGAAAAGACATGGGCCTTCAGACAGGCAGCTTGCAAAAGATGTGCTTGTCGTCTCGCTCGTCGGATGCCGATGCCGCTGAGTCAAGGGCGCGGCAGGGATTCCCCATTCCATCTTCTTCTCCACAGCCCCCAATTGCCGCCTCGGCCAGACTCCAGATGACAAGATTGGCCGACTTGGCCCGCGGTAACTGACAACCTCGGGAATCCATAGCTCCAACCTCTCCGTCCATGTCGTATTTCGGAACTGCATTGGAACTGACTGCGCCTTGGAAGCAATCGAGCCGGTTGCGCCGCAGACGGCTGTCATCGGCCTGGGATCCGAAACTAATGCCGAAAAGCAGACAAAACAATGTTACTAGTATTCGCATATCAGCCTGGTTAACAAACAAACAAACAAATAAACATCTACTCTGTAGCCCGTAGTCCGTAGTCCGTAGTCTCCGTATGTAGTGTAGAGTAGGAAGTGGCCATATCATGCATCCATCGTCACATCACTCATATGGATGCAGCTCCTCCGCTCGAGTCGTCGCGCAATAGTATACACCAAGTCTGCGTCTGCATCATTGATAATAATTCTATTTTTTGTATTGCTTCCTTCGCGCACGAGCTGTCAACCGAACCACACCACGTAGTTAGCAACCTCAAAGCACACACAAGCATGTTGCATCAACTTCGTCCTCCAACCCTCGCTCCTCGCACTTGAAATACATAGAGGCCGCTGTCCTCTCCCTCAAAGCAAAATCAAATCATTACACCCAAACGCCTTGCTCAAGGATTTCACCACCTTTGCTTCCCCTTAACCTGTGCCACATCACATTATCCCCTTCATTATTTTTATAATAAACCCGCCTACCCCTACAGATATGGCATCCACAGCGCATCGCACTGTGCCAGATTCATAGGGTTCACAGCTTTGGCAATCGCATCAATCACCGTCTGGTTCGCAGGCAAGTTGCCGGACGGGTTGTGCGCCAGGCTCGCCGCGCGCTTGACAATCGAGTCGCTGTTGACCTGCACAGACTCACGCAGCTGGCTCTCGCTGATTCCGTTTCTGTGGCTGCTAGTGAGCCAGAATATCATCTCGTCTCGTACAAATAGCGTGAGCGCGTGCTCCAATTCGTGCTCCGGCTCCGTGAGGCAGCGAGCAATCGCCATCAGGGAGCAGGCATAGATGCCCTCAGTAGCGAGCGGGCCCATCAGCACCTGTAGGTTGGGTGTCAGGCGGAAGGGGACCGGCTCTGGGTTGTGGAAGAATGGCTTTGATGCGCTCATAAACGACATCAGCTCCGATCCCCAAATTTTGCCCGAGCCCCGTGCAATGTTGAGCTTCGCGGGATATCGGTTGTGCATGTACAAAATGTACGTCATAAACGTCAAGGCCGCAAGCTGATAGGAGAACTGCCTTCGGAAGAGCCAAAACTCTGCGAACTGCGGGAATATCTGCTGGAAATAGTCTAGCGCAACTGAAGACGGCACCCACTTCTCTTGGACAGCGTTGAAGACTTCCAGTCTTGCTGGTGGCGTGAGCTCAGGCTTGCCCTGCTGTAATATGTTAGCTCCTACGTCAATTCCCAGCTGAGCTCCATCAATGCATACCTGGCTCTTGCTTTCGAGCACACCGCGCAACTTTTCAAGTGTAAACAAAACGGGCTCGTCCTTAGAAAAGCCCATTCGTCGACAGTGATCCTCGTAGACTGCCTGCAACGTGACATAAGAGGTGTCCTCTTGAACGATTCTTATATGCGGGGCAAGAGGAACCATGAGCGGGAGAGTAAACTGCAAATCCCGACGGCGGCTCTCCTTCTTCCGACCTAGTGTCTGGTTGAGATGTCTGAATAGCTGCAAGATTCTCTCTTCACGCCTGCAATGGCGCGCTGCCGGGTGTTGTACGGCCCATGAGTGAACGCTACCGTCGTGGCCACGCATCTTGAGTCGGCGATATGAGGTGCTGTAGGACCGGACTAAATCCACATTTGGAAGGAACCTCTCTATACGGATGAAGTCTTGGTTTTTATCCTTGTGTTGGAGGTATTGGCCAGGAACTTCCACCTCGTCAAACTTCTGATATCTGAATTCGCTGAGGTGCGGCGAGTATGCCTCGAGGTGTGCATGACAAACACGTCGGTCCAACTTCTCTTCAAACTTGGTGCGCCAGCGACGCAGTTTGTGAATGTATTCGTACATGGTTGGCTTTACATCCACAAAATCGGCTTCGAAGGACTTTTTGATGTGGCTGGGCAGTATCGTCTCAGCAAACCTCGTAATGTTGGTCTCAGTCGCCGACGGTAGCTTCACGCTCTTGGCAAACGAAGCGGGCGTGCGGCTGGCCTGGGTTAACGCGTCGTTAAGTAGGGCCACAATCAGTCGGTACGCGTCCTCGTCTGGTGGGCACTTGAAGTGTTTTTGAATCTGATCCACCATGGTCTCCATTGATAGGGCAAGTAGAGGGAAGGCTGTCTTGAGGACAGACATGATCTCCTCTGTGAGCTCCCAAGGCATCTTCTTCTGATTTGGGTTTGGAGCAGGCGGTTGCTGCTCTTGCTTCTGTCCACTGGCAGCTGGAGCAGGCGTAGGCGCATTGGCTGGGGTCGGCGGAAGGCTGGCGGGCGCGGTTGCTGCGTCACCACCTTCAGTCTTCACCTGGCTGGCAGCGTCTCCCTCTGTAGCGGTGCCTGCCCGTGGTGTGCCGCCGTCCGACGTTTTGGGTGGCTCAGACTTGGCTTGCGAGGGCGACAGGCTCGGCTTGCCATTGGAGGCAATTGACTGGGCGCGCTGTTGACGGGCTCGCTCCTTGGCCTCCTGATTCTTCTTTATGAGATTCATGTCCTCACGGTTGGTCCGAAGTTGAAAATACAGGGCCTGAGGGTACGATTTGGCGATGCTGAGAAGAATCTGGTAAACTCGCGGTGCTTCTTTATGACCCAGTCCGGTTAAAAGCTGGGGAATAAAGGTAATCCAATACCACACAGGCGTTTCACCCTTGAAGTCATCAAAGCCCATGGCAATGGTGCCCTTTGAATCATCCAAGCTGAGGAGCCAGAGAATGCGAGCAAGGAGCTTGCGTGATTTCGCGTTCTTATAACTGCCAGCCGCCTGAAGATACGATGTGAGTGCTTGCCTAGCCGCATTCAAATCTGTGGGATCTTCTTTGAACTTCCTGTCATTAAAGTAGCCCCATTCCGCCCAAGCCTTTGGTGCTCCAATGTCAAAGTAGAGCGCAGTCCCGTACGCATGGTCAGCTTCATCCTTTTGATTGAGTTTTTCCAAGAACATCCCCTTGAGCGTGTAGAATTCAGCCTTTTGTTGAGGGTTAAAGTAGTTCAGGTTCGTATTGTTGATGACGTCTAGTCCACTTGAAAGCTCTTCGGGATTCTCGTAATGACATTTGGCTTGTTCTCTGAGTTTGAGGAAGGCTTCCTGGATTTCAATGTTTGGCAACGTGTAAATGCGGCTTAATTGACTGATGCACACTTCGGGGAGGCTATGCTTGCGGGCAACGTGAGCAAATCGGTTGATAATCCAGGCAGTCTCGTGATATCCTCGGTATGCAAACGAAGACGCACCACCAGCGTTCTGCTGACCCTGTTGAGGAAGCAGTTGCAAGTAGGTCTGGTTGATGAGACCGAATATGTGTTGCCGCCAAGTCACCAGATCCTGCCATGCTGTAATGTCGTCCCAAACATTGGGTAACCGGTCACGCCAAGCGCCAAGAAGAAGTTTAAGTTCTCCAGACTTGACATCCAGGTTTGAAGAGTTTGTGTTTGCCAGGGATTGACAAATGACGCTAGCATCGTGGAGCTCGACCAGCTGCTGGAAATTTTGTAGCAGCGGAATATGAGCATTTGTTAATCGCTCTGGAAGTTGATGCCACTTGCGAATGGACAATTGAATAGCCTCATCACAAACTCTTGCAAAGTCATTGCCGCCCTCCTGTTGATTATGAAACTTGAGGAGAGACATAAAGGCCTGAAAAAAGGCTCGTCGGGGAGTAGGAGCATCCATGACACCTTTGATAACGTTGTCCAAGGCTTCACGGTGCTGAGCATCTTGCCACATCTCTGTGTTTCGCCAGGCGCACTCAAGCAATAAATCTTGAAAATTCTCGTGTTTGGCAAAGTCTTGCAATATCTCCCACTGCTGAAGCTTCTGCGCGCAAAGAACCCAGTGATCCTCCCAAAGCATGTACTCTGCCTGGGAGAATGGAATAACGCCAGTACGAGCCTTGATTTGAGCATTTTCGTAGAGTTTCTGGGCCTTGTCCCACATACCATTTTGCTCGTAGGAAAGGCCGGCATTGGTCTCGACAAATTGGCACCGTCGACGCCACGTCCCATAAAACAAGTCTTCTTCTTGCAACGAGGCATAGAGGTCGACCAAGGCGTCCAGGTTACTTTCTCTGACAGTAGTAGACTCGACTTCTGGCCGGATGGCAGCATTCTCAAGTTGCACCAGCGCGGTATACCAGGCATCGTACGTCTTGGCCTCAAACTTCAAAACGTGAGGTGGCAGTTTGCAATTCGGCCATGTCTTGGCGGCGCCTTCAACCAGCGACTGCACGACGTTAGGGCGCTTGTCAATTTGTCGGCTATGGTAGTCTTTGGTAAGGAGAGCCACCATGCCACGCTCTAAATCGGCACGTTCGTCCCGCATTGTTGCAGACCAATACATGGGGAAAATGGCGACCCAGAGCTGGTGTGCGAGCTGGTTATCGACATGTTGAAGTTGCATCAGTGGTTCGATAACATCTCGAACCTTGACATCGCCCAGTTCGGAAACGAAACGCCGATGGCTGGTCATGAAAGCTTCGAACTTGTCGTCTGGCATCATGTTTGGTTCCCTGGCATCCTTGTCTTTGGGATACACCGCAGCAAGCTGTGAT